GTTGTTTGTTCATTCGTTCGTTCGTTCATTCATTCATTCATTGTGTAACAAGCACTTACTGCTCCTCTCTTTGCCAGGCACTGAGTGGTGAGAACACGAATGGGGCAGAATCGCTACCCTCAAGACGCTTATAATGCTGGGAGCAAGAAGGAGTCCAAATTAACTTAGAAGACTCAGCTGGAGCTCAGAGCCCTACCCAACTAGGAGGTGCTCAAGGCCCACTGCAGCACAGGCACCCCAGCTCACTTGTTTTTCTTAGCTAGAAAAGAAACCTTCCAAACACCAAACTGGTAAAGAAAATCTTTTAGGTTGCAGGTGTACACTAATGTTTGCCATGTCCTAGACGGCCTCAGACTGAAAAGGTAGATGTCAGATGGAAAGATCTGGAAAAGGCCATACTGGGAGGAGGAGGGAAGAATAGCATAGCAGTGAGTTAAGACTAGAAACGGGGAGGTGATAGTGTGAAGCCCAAGGGTGTTCATTGGGGTGACCATCCTGTCACACCCACATCTTCAGGACTTGGTGCTGCACCGGGCAGACTGCGCCTGCGTTTCCACAGAATTACCAACCCCCTTCTGTTAGGAGGAGAGACAGCATCTGAAGAGATCTGCTCAATAGAGCTCGGGCCTGAGAGATGTGAAGTGGCCTTTTAATTTATTTTTTATTTTTTACAAGAGTCCAAAGATGGCCCTGCCAAGATTCAGGAAGCTCCCAACATGTGAGAGCTTAGCTCTACTGATCTGCTGATCATCCATTCTGGCTGCAACAATCTGACTGATTGTTGGTGGGCCACCAGCAACAGTCCCGAAGACCGGGAGCAAGCCTCCATAGCGAGCTCTCGCCAGGCTCCTCATCAAGGACACGGGAGAAGTCCTCAGGGCCAAGGGTCTGCAGGGTGGGTGTAGAGGGGGGTGTGCCCTGAGCTTTCAGGCTGATGTGTAAACCCTCCAAGTGCCTCTGCCCCGGGTTCGGGGACCTGGAAGAAACAGGTTCCAGGTCTGCACCCCAAAGCTCCAGGAGGCGGCACCATCATCACCAGCCACCTCTGTCCCTCTGGTCCATCCCCCTGCAGTCTCCACTGGGGTTTACATTGCTCCAGTCCCCCTAGCTCTGCTGCTGAGATGCAGTCTGCCAAACTGGAAAAGACTGGGTACCAACCCCCCACCCTAGCAGTGACCCGAGCATCTTTCAGACCAAACTTGGCCAGGCCAGCTCCTCCCTATCCCACCCATCCAGCTAGTTCCAGGCTCCCCTGCACTCTGCTCCAGAAATGAACTGACAAGGGTCTGGGGCTTGCTCAGAAGTTGCCCCTGGCCCTAGGTGGCCTGGGGAGCTTAGCCAGCGGGAGCCCTATCTATGGGAAACAAGCAAAGTCCTGGGTGTAGGATGAGCTCCTCCCCTCTCCATTCCTTCACAAAGAGCTTCCCTTTCTGCCTCCCCATTCCCTGTGGCCTAGGAGGGTTTTACTCCATAATTGGCTTGTTTGCCACCACTGAGGGCTTGGAGTGGCAGAGGTGGGAGGAAAGTTTGCTGGGCTTTGAGGCTGGTGTGTAAACCCTCCAAGCGCCTCTCTGACCACCTGAGAACAGGTCAAGGACCCATGTGAGGAAGAAAAACACAGGGACGCAAGGCCAGCTGAAGATTCCAGCAGCCCACAGGAGGGAAGCTTAGGTGTGATGCCAGGAAAGGGAGAACCTGCTTGCTTCTGCTGAAGAGTCAAAAGCATTACTTGGCACTGTTCTGAGCTCCCAGTCGACTCCTGTGGGCTAGGAGCTCCAGTGATGTCATTCCCCCCCACCCCGCTCACAAACCGTCCTCAGCTCCCAGCTCCTAGCAAACTTCCCATCCTGACCTTCAGGCCCTTCCCCAGGCCCCTGATGCCTCAGCCTCTGCCCTGCTGACCACTCATCAGCGGAGCCTGTATCCTCACTGAACAGGACCACCTGCTGGGCCACAAGTACATCCTTTCCCCCACAACTTGGGTTCTCTGCTCCTGGGGTTCTCTCTACCTCAGGTCCCAAGTCTCTCCTCACACACTCCCTCCCTTGTGAAGGTTTTTCCACTTCCTCAGCCCCTTCCCCACCCCACCCTACCCCGATCAGACTCGCATGCTCCCGGCCTACTCTCTGAGCCCTGGCACTGGTCCCCTTAAGGCAACTGCCTTCATCTGTCGTGCTTGAGAGCTCCCAGAGGCCCCGCTCCATCCTCCAAATGAGCAGAGTCTTACTCAGCTTTGATTCAGCTGAAGCAAAACACAGGACCTGGCAGACAGCAGCTGCTTAACTGTTTTGCTGCCCCAAATACCATTCATCCCAGAGACCTAGAAAGTGATAGGGGCAAAGGGGCAGAGTCCCACAAAAGGAGCAGACCAGAGCGGAGTGACCAAAGTTAGCTGGGAGAGCGGCTCAGGCCTTACCTTTCTTGAATTCCTCCAGCATGGCATCCAGCTTGGTGTCATGGAAGACAAAGTGCACGGGGTGGTTGTAGAAGCGGGTGATGGTCTTGAGGGGGGTGCAGTCATCGGGGTCCACGAAGGCCAAGTCTTTGACGTAGAGAATATCTACAATATTGGACTGCTCGTCCTCAAACACGGGGATGCGGGTATAGCCACTCTCCATAATCTCGGACATCGTGTTGAAGTCCAGGATGGCATCGCTGCGGATCATGAAGCAGTCATGGAGCTGGGTCATGATGTCCTCCACGGTTTTGGTCCGTAGTTCCAGGGCCCCCTGAATCATATTTAGTTCCTCCTTCACGAGGTCATTATAGGGCTCTGTCACCTTCAACATTTCCATCAGTTTCTCCCGATTGTAAACGGTGTGAATCTCCTGGCCCAGAAAAAAGTCTAGGAGCTTGCTGATGGGGAAGCTGAGGGGGAAAGTGAGTAGCATAAAGAATTTGGTGAGAATGATCGTGTTGGCACCCACAGCCAGTCCGTGCCGGGAGCACAGGGCCTGAGGTAAGATCTCTCCAAAGATGACAATGCCGATTGTGGAGGAGGCCACGGCCATGAGCCCGGACCCGATGAGGTTGTCCAGAAGGATAGTGAGAGAGGTGTTGACCAGCACATTTCCCAGGAGTAGCGAGCAGAGCAGGTAGTTGCCTTTGCGACGGATAGGCTCGATCTTGCGAGCATAGCGCCTCTCCTTCTCCGTGCCACAGTTCTGGACGATGCGCAGTTCCATGGGGTCCAGGGCCATCAACCCCAGATTGAGGCCAGAGAAGATGCCCGACAGCACTAACAGCACCAAAATGATAAGTATGTGCAGCCAGAGGGGCAGGAACCTCCCGGCCTCCTCCACCATGAAGAGCAGCGAGTCCTTATCGGTCCACTTCTGCCACGGCCCGTCCACGCTGGTCCGGGTGCACAGCGCGTACAGCTTCATGTTCTCGCTCCTCCGCAGGAACTTGGTGAACACCACCAGCATCCCGGACGTGTCCCCGCGGCTCACGTTGACCAGCTGCTGGACGACCAGGTCCTTGGTGAGCTCGGGGCAGTGGGTGGAGTTGTGGAAGGCCTCGGAGTTGTCCACCTCCGTGAAGGAGATCAGGTTGCTAGAGATGGAGCCCAGCCTGTGGCCATACAGCCTCAGGTTCACCGTGCTGCCCTCGGACACAAAGATGATGCCATCCGGGTTCATCCCACACGGCTTGTCGCAGCTCGCCAGTCGCATGCCAAGGATCGTGCTCCGCTGGGGGTCTCCCTGGCCCCGGACCCCCCGCGCCCACAGCAACACCGGC